CTGGTATGGAACGAGGGAGTCGTATATCGCCCAGCTGGGATATGCTCAGCCACCAGCCCTGCCAGGTCTTGTGATCCGCCTCGCTTAGGGTCTCAACCCAAGTGGCTTTTTTCTACACAGGTCCTGCAGCAGTATCTTGCCTGGTAGTAGCCACGGTGCGATGAACCCCATAGGATCGTAAAGGCTGGCCAACGAAGAGAGAATTCCTCTGCGAGTCGCTGTCGTGTCAGGTAACGGGAGTTGGAACAAGAACTTTTTTCTCCGAGTCCAATTGCACACCAAGTGCTCTATCGGTTGGTAACGGACTCCCCTGCAATTCACGGAGACTCTGCGCCCGCTCATCAACTGGGATGCAATCGATTGCATGACGACTGTTGGACATCCACTTGATCAACTTGAACCCTCCCATGAGCAGTAACTTGGATAGATCCCTAATATGTCGAACTGCTTCCTCGATGCTATCAAAGGATCCCAGGAAGTCGTCCACATAAAAATTGTTCAACACAGGAGTCCACCGGGGTTCGAAGTGCTGAGCAAATTGATTCACGGTCGGTTTTACCGCGAAGTTTGCACAGAAGGGAGAAGATATCGCGGCAAATGGGTGCATAGTCATCCGATAATCTTGGGCAGGTCCGTCTAGGTCTCCATTCGGCCACCACCACAACCGTAGAGCAACCCTTTTCGCTGCAAAGACTTTGACCTGCATGAACATCTCCTCAACATCAGCCGCTACTGCAACTGACCCCAGACGGAATCTGCACAGCACCTCAATCAGCGGAGGTTTCTTGGGGTTTGTGACAGGGTGGTGCGGAAGGTACCACAATGGTTGCTCTTTCTCGACTTCTCCCATTGCGCGTTTGATATATCCCAACTCTAGATTGCGTTTCACGGCGTTACAGTAGGCTTCCTTCAACTGCGCGTTCCTCTACAATCGACCCTTCAGGTAGTTGAGCCTATGGAGTGCTATTTCTCGGTTGTCTGGCAGTCAGTTGCAACTCTTTCGCCAGGGTAACGGCAGTTCGAATTGGATTCCGTTGTGTCGTGCCGTTTCTGTGACGACAGTCAGGGCTGCTGGGTCTTCTCTCGACGTAGATAACCGGTCGTCTGCTATGTCGCCGAACTCGTGATTGTAAAGCTGCTCCAGATCGTCTCCTATGGGATTACCTGGCCGCGAGATGAAGTTGAGCGAGGCTGAATAATTACCATCATTACTGAGCGGCCCGCGAAGTATCCAACCGAAAATCGTGCGCACAGCATACGGATCTCTACGGCCTCCTACCCTTTGGTCCAGAACCCAATGCGCCTCGGGTACATCACAGCCGATCAATATGTCTACTCGGGCGTCCGGAACATCCTCGAGCGGCAGATTGTGGAGGTGAGGCCAGCGCCGCGCTAGCGACTGGATACTTTCGGAAGCTGTCATTGGTAGTTCGGCAATAGTGAATGCATGGTGCACCTCTGTCGTATCTTCCCCCGATGTGGGAGCTAACTTCAAAATCAGCTGAGAAGCTCGAACTTCTCGTGCCCCATTCACCGTGCTGATTACCAATGAAGTAGTTTGTCAACACAAGTTGTGTTCTCGTGCAAAACTCTCTCTCACGAGGGCGGTATGCGAACCTGTGTCTAGAAACACCACTGCTTACCCCATACCATGCGGGGTTTTCACCTGGATTAGTATTATTTCCAAGCGTACCGGCCCATTTGACACCCGTCCGATAGTGCAGACAGAATTAGGTGTATCCCCTGTAGCGTGTTCGTCGGCTCTATCGACCCGGCCGCTATTCGCTCGTTGCTCGACTCCTCCATCGTGGTGTAATAAGGGGTGATGCCGAACCCTGCAACTGTCTTGACCACAGTTGGTTCGGTTTCTACAAAGGGATGCTCTGTGGGTATCGCTCAAGCACACAAAGCAGGACCCTGTCCTTTTAGCTAATGTCCAGCGGTCCATCACCTTCATTGACAAAAACTCTGGGCAGTCAACAAGCTTGTGGGCACCTATGCACAGTCTGCACTTAATCGGTCTTTGCGTGTCATATGAGATTAAGTTGGTGCTCGCCCAGTTACGTNTGATTGCGAAGCGGTCCTGCTTTCCCTCGTCAGTTGACCGAATCGACTATTTGCTATGCTAGATTGGCAATCTATGAATTGTGCGAGTTCGCCAAATGTCGCGTCTCTGTTCCTTTTCTCGCTTCGATTGGCCTCGGTCACACAGGCTGTCTGCATTTCGGCCTGCAAACATCTGACAATCGATTCCATCGTGTGAAGTGCATCCAGGTCCGACCGATATTCGAGGTGGTTTAGGGCGATCCTGCAGTTCTGCATTTTAATAATAATAATAATAAGTGTATATTTCACGGAGTTCCGTGAGGCATGCATAGGCATGATCAAATGTACAACATAATCCTCCGTACAGGAGAGG